TAGAGTAAAAAAACGACTGCATCATACAACCTGTCCGGGGTACTATGCATATGACTGAGCAGCAAGTGAAAATGCATACCTAATGTACATGTAGTTATGCATATGACTGAGCAGCAAGTGAAAATGCATACCTAATGTACATGTAGTTATGCATATGACTGGACAGCAAGTGAAAATGCATACCTAATGAACTTGTAGTTATGCATATGACTGGACAGCGAGTGAAAATGCATACCTAATGTACATGTAGTTATGCATATGACTGGACAGCGAGTGAAAATGCATACCTAATGTACATGTAGTTATGCATATGACTGGACAGCGAGTGAAAATGCATACCTAATGAACTTGTAGTTATGCATATGACTGGACAGCAAGTGAAAATGCATACCTAGTAATGTACATGTAGTTATGCATATGACTGGACAGCGAGTGAAAATGCATACCTAATGTACATGTAGTTATGCATATGACTGAGCAGCAAGTGAAAATGCATACCTAATGTACATGTAGTTATGCATATGACTGGACAGCAAGTGAAAATGCATACCTAATGAACTTGTAGTTATGCATATGACTGGACAGCGAGTGAAAATGCATACCTAATGTACATGTAGTTATGCATATGACTGGACAGCGAGTGAAAATGCATACCTAATGTACATGTAGTTATGCATATGACTGGACAGCGAGTGAAAATGCATACCTAATGTACATGTAGTTATGCATATGACTGAGCAGCAAGTGAAAATGCATACCTAATGTACATGTAGTTATGCATATGACTGGACAGCAAGTGAAAATGCATACCTAATGTACATGTAGTTATGCATATGACTGGACAGCGAGTGAAAATGCATACCTAATGAATATGTAGTTATGCATATGACTGGACAGCGAGTGAAAATGCATACCTAATGTACATGTAGTTATGCATATGACTGGACAGCGAGTGAAAATGCATACCTAATGTACATGTAGTTATGCATATGACTGGACAGCAAGTGAAAATGCATACCTAATATACATGTAGTTATGCATATGACTGAGCAGCAAGTGAAAATGCATACCTAATGTACATGTAGTTATGCATATGACTGAGCAGCAAGTGAAAATGCATACCTAGTAATGTACATGTAGTTATGCATATGACTGGACAGCGAGTGAAAATGCATACCTAATGTACATGTAGTTATGCATATGACTGAGCAGCAAGTGAAAATGCATACCTAATGTACATGTAGTTATGCATATGACTGGACAGCAAGTGAAAATGCATACCTAATATACATGTAGTTATGCATATGACTGAGCAGCAAGTGAAAATGCATACCTAATGTACATGTAGTTATGCATATGACTGGACAGCAAGTGAAAATGCATACCTAATGTACATGTAGTTATGCATATGACTGAGCAGCAAGTGAAAATGCATACCTAATGTACATGTAGTTATGCATATGACTGAGCAGCAAGTGAAAATGCATACCTAATGTACATGTAGTTATGCATATGACTGGACAACAAGTGAAAATGCATACCTAATATACATGTAGTTATGCATATGACTGAGCAGCAAGTGAAAATGCATACCTAATGTACATGTAGTTATGCATATGACTGGACAGCAAGTGAAAATGCTTACCTAATGGACATGTAGTTATGCATACAAAGAGCCGTTTCTTTAACATAAATATTCAAACCATACATTCCCAATTCTCCAAATAAACATGATATTTTAAGAGAGTTGGACAAATCTAACTCTCTAGCTGATACCCACGCGACATATATTTCTCTCTAAAAGTTAACGCAGCCTATATCGCCATCTTTGAATTCTTTCGACCAAATTCATCCGCTTGAAATATGCATCCCTACTTACTGTGGATATTTCGTCAGCATTCGGGCAGTGAGGATTGTAAACATAAATTTTGACGTGCTTTGTATCGACATTGGCGTCTGAGCTGTAAATGGCTCATTCTTCTCAATATCCTTGTAACCATAGCCCTTGCTTAAGACAACAGTATCATCCTTCACCACAGACAGAAACATTCCCGGAACACGTCTGCACTCCATTACGGTTGCAATTCGTTCCTCCAGGTTTGCTGTATCTTCTGAATTCCATTCTTTGGAAAGGAATCCATTAACGTAAAACAACAATATGGTAACTATGAACCATTTGCACATGTTTCGCATTTTATTGAATTTGGTGCCTGTTAGGATTACGATGTGTGTTGTCCTCTTTAGGATTTCACCCTTTTTTACGTTGTCACTTAACGTAAATGTTAATGCAGAAATTCAATACGTGTGTCTCCAAATGAATAGTTATAAAAGTCAAACGTTAAGTGTTTTTTTCTTTCTAACATGCACACTTAAACCATTTTCGAAACAACATTCAACTTATTAAAACGACCTTTATACAATTTTCTATTTGTTTTAATTTCAAATCAATCTATTCTTGTCAATAAGAAATGTATGTTTTAACTCGAAATCGGTTTCTCTCTACGACCTGTCTTATGCTACTGTTATATACTTAATGCTTTGCATGTTGAATAAGTACATCGTGTGAATGCATTTTACTTCGCGAGTAGAGTTTGGAGTCTCATATAAATATTACTGATGTTAGGTTACTGAAAGATGTCCTGAATGTATTTTTACTTTTTATTTTCAGATATATTTATTTAATTTTTTCCTAATATATAACAATGCAAATTCCCAGTCAATCCCTCAAGGGCAGAAGGGTATAAGAAAAGCAAATACAATATCGTGATGAAAGTCAAGAGGTTCACTCTGCTCTAGGGCTTGCAATGTGACCGAACATTGGAACCATTTTTTCAGTCTAAGATCTCATTCCAAGGCCCCCTACTTTAGCCATGCTACAGCTTTGCCCTAAAAAAGGAGTATCACTGAATCAATATGCAAATTCATTAAACTTTATGTTCAAGTTTAACCCTTTCCCAAAAGAATTGAATAACATAACAATAACTTTTTTGCATACATTTCTTTTATCAGGTCAAGCAGCTTTACAAAAAGTACTGAAGACAATTTAAAATGGTTGTTCTACATTTATCTTAAGAGGTTTTTTTCAAAAAACGTTTTGGTTCGAGGTTTTTTGACAAAACAAGCTTTTTTCAAAAAAAACTTTTGGTTCGAGGCTTTTTGGCAAAAAACGTTTTTCTTCGAGGCTTTTATCCAAAAAACGTTTTCGTTTTGCTTCAAGGCATTTTTTAAAAAAAACATTATTTGCCCAAAAAGCCTCTAAGCAAAACTTTTTTTTGCCAATTGGGCCTGGAACAAATTTTTTCTTTTGCAAAAAATCTCGAAGAAAAGAGAAGAAAATATTGAAAAAATACCAGTCCAGTTACAGGTCCAGGTCCAACTCAAGGTCAAGGTCCAAGTATGGATCCAGGTCCAAGTCCAGGTAAGGTCCGGTCCAGTCAAAGTCCAGAATAAGGTCAAAGTCCAAATCCATGTCCAAGTACAAGTCCAGGTCCGAGGTCAGTCCAGGTTCAAGTGTAGTCCAAGTCCAGTCCAGGTCAAAGTCAATGTCCAAGTCAAGGCCCAAATTCAGTCAATGTCCAAGGCCAGTCCAGGTCCAAGTCCAGTTAAGGCCGATGTCCAGTTCCAAATCAAGGCAAAGTCCGGCCAATTGAGTATTTCGTTCAAAATTGAATACAGTATTGAACAAAACACTCAATCGGGCGGGCGCCGGCCGATGGATCGGAGCATATGTGACCCAGGCATTAACTTGTGTTCGCTACTTTACGTTTCTATTGTTTTGCGTTTGCTAAATGCGTTGCGATAAATATCACTTATAGCTTTGTAGCTAAGTTCAAGCTAATTAGAGATTCTTACTGCCATTTTATTTGAGGAATTAACAGATTAAGCCCTGGACTGTGTATATTATTGACTGAATCATTTCTCTGTGCTCTTTGTGCTTATTTTTCTTCAAAGAAATATCAAGAATTTGCAATGTCAAAATAAATTACTCTCCAAGAATTTAGTCGAAAGCCAGTCCAGTGATGAAGTACGAAATCGAAGATATTTAGAAGGCATAGACACCTTACATTTTAAATGATCTTTTTTCTTCTAAAACGTTTCATCATATGACTGGGTATTGGTGAACTTGATACAACATTTTTTCTCTTAAATTGATAATTGAAAAATATGAAAAATACAGTACATCTTCGAATTCAGTGATATGGTATTCGGTGACTCGTCATCCCAACCCCAAGTCAAGTAAATCCAGAAAAACTCAACTCCAAGTCAAGTCAATCTAGTAAAACTCAACCCCAAGTCAAGTCAATCCAGAAAAACTCAACCCCAAGTCAAGTCAACCCAGTAAAAGTCAACCCCCAGTCAAGTCAACCCCAGTAAGACTCAACTCCAAGTCAAGTTTATCCAGTAAAACTCAACCCCAAGTCAACCCAGCCCGTTAAAACTCAACCCCTTTTCATTTCTGCAATGTTTGATTTCATTTTATGATGAGTAATTTAAGTTATCAATTTCTGAAAATCTAGCATTTTGCATGATACTTTGTTAAAATATTCAAGGAACGGTATGAAGCCCAAGAATAATTCATCAAGAAGGTGTCACACTTATGGACGTGTAGCAGAGCTGAACAATAAATGTTGACTTATTCAAACGCTTCATAAGTTTTACATGTCATACGGAAAAGATAAACATATAAGTGAGTTGCAAAATCTCTCTTATATTTGTTTTAATACATCTTTTGACATCAAACACACCTATAGAAATCAAGAACTCAAGTTGCTCGAGTCTCAACAAGTAGATTCTGTGGGATAGCATTGGCAGAATCCATTTTCAATAGGAGTAAGAATAGTAAACATGACACTGGGCTTGCTTTTTTAGAACTTTTTGTTGGCTCTAATGTCCCAGTGTGCAATTATCAAATGGTACCATAATTGTATTATCCGAGTAACCCTAATCCGCGTCTTGCAGACCAGTGAGGTAAAACGAACACAATCGCTCACTGTCATCAAGCATTCGCTCAAACTCTAATCCTTGATATATGAGTTCGTTTATAAGACCATTGGATTCAGTAAATTTAATTGAATAAGGTCCAGTATACCACAAGTGGTACATATCATCTACTCCTTTCAACCAAAACTCGTGAGCCTGTCCTTCTTTCGGATATGCGAACATTCTGGCCTCACTCATAGAAAACTGTAGAACTTCGGTATCATCATCGGTTCGATTCAAAGTCATATTCATGCATCCGTATGCAGCACGGCCAAATACACCAGTATATTTTTCCAGCGGAAGCGTTGAAGCTACGTCCTCTGGGATAGCAGTAAACGTTGGAATATCCACTGGCTCTCCCCAGGGGGCAGGAAAGGCACACACCGTTGTTTGGTTCAAGTAATTCGGCAAATCAAGAAGTATATCGAGAATGTATTCATGAACGATGGTTTCAACGGTCCATGATACTCGCTCATATGGGCCATTTAAACCAGCGTAGATACCAATCTTTAAATCTGGGTGGTAAGTCATCAATGTGTCTGAGAAGTGACTTCCGGTATGCTGCACCAACTGAAATCCTGGAATTATTCATTCTATAAATCATATTTGAAATAGCAGAGTTATAACCTACAAGTTAAGTGAAATAACCTTTAACACTTTTGGAATTTTGAAAAAGTTCAGTGATTAAGTTGAAAATAACATATTCCACATTGATTTCTCAAAGGTCGTGTTATCCTTTTTAGCCTAATTTTGGTCATCAACATTTGATATTTTCAAACTCGATTTTCGACGCATCCCCCAAGTCACAGATTTCCTTGTTAAATCTGTAAATTGTCCATATGCAATAAAAATAGAATACAAAGATCCATTTTGGAGGAGATACAGTAAGTGCGATGTTTTGAAAAATGGGTTGACGTAAAATGTCCCAATCAATGTTCTTGGATTCATTATCAGGGGATCTTACTAGATGGAAATCCTATTGATGAGAAATGTCGTATTTACATAATATTGTGGTGAGAAATGGCCGCATGCAAAATTATTGTATTTTATTTATGCGTGAACTTATTTTTTATTTTAGGAGACAGTCAATTGCCCTACTTATTAATCTAGCAACTCTAAAGGAAGATACTCACCTCTGTAATAACGATGCCATGATGCCAACCCGTAGGCATACGTATGGCTTGTAAATGGGGCAGCTGGTCTCATAGAGTAACCATCGGCAACGGTGTATCCACCATATGGATTTGGGTAAAACATCTGCGGTGATAGGGCGTCTTCTATAAGATCTCTGTTTACGTGCTGGAATATAATCATTATCATTATGAATATGTATAATCCCGTGATTCTTGAAGTTCCCTCCCTTAGTAACACCAATCTGTATCTTCTAATAGTCATAATTGTGACTGACCAACCCCGAGATATATCGGGATGCTGTCCAATAATTGTCACACAATTTGTACCAATAATCTTACCAAATATTGTAGGGGTCACTAGGAGAACAAGGTTTGATGCAATAAACACGAAAAATAGGGTGTTGATACAGTCCGTTTTATGCTAAATATGAAACATGCAGTCACCAGCAGAAAACCCTAAAACAGTATTGACCAGCAGTGAGTTAAAGATATGCTATACAGATATGTAGGTCAGTATTACATAATCGTGAAATGAATAAGTCTGAATATATCATTGGTCAGAAAACACTAAAACATGCTTGAAACTGTAAAAGTTTATACACTCTATTCCACACTGTATAGAAATAAAATAACTTACACTATAAGTAACTGTGAGCCAATCATTGCATAGAAAAAACTTTATGCACTGTTTATAAGATTCACTGAGACAAGTGGGTCAATACTTCATGTACTTTATGTGCTCTCACACAATTACCTTCCCTTGCATAAAGTTGCTGTACAGTTATATGTAACTGAATATTGTATATTCATCACAAACAACCTTAGCAAAATGATGGTTCGACGAAATGGACGGTTCGCTAAAACCAATAAATCAGGCAAACTAGGCCAATTTGGAAAGAAACTAGATAGCGTGATAGCGAATGAGGATAGTAGATGAAATATATTTTGCAAAGGTCAGCTTGTAAACTACTGGGTAACCCTAAATGATGAGAAATATGTACAAAATATGTTTTGCATGATTTATTCATATCCCAATGACTCCTTCACTGCATCTAATAAGGTATATACTTAGGTGGTTCAAAAAGTTTTGCAGTTGATGCCATTACTTAAAGGAAAATAGGACTTTTACAATGAAACTTGGTACAAATATGTGTTATACATTTATACATTATATGTTAAACGGAAGAGGTGCGATTATTGGCAAATACCCCTATGGTCAAAATGAATAATTGTTAGGTGTAACATGAAGAATAGAATGTCATATAACTCTTTGGAAAATATTAAAATGCTCAGGCACACATAGGCTGAGATAGGGGCCATTTAGTTTAGTAAGGTTGTATTGCCTTACACTGGGCTGTGCTTCATTGACGTAACATGAGGATATCAGCAGATCCCAATAGAGGCCATTGGTTTCTATTGATTATCACACAAATACCAAAAATACACTATGACCTGAATCGATTGCAAACTTAATAATTTCACAATTTGGCACTAATGGTTTATCTCATCAAATGTGCAAATATGAAGTTTGCAATCGATTCAGGTCATACTTAAAATTAAAAGATTGTACATTTTTTCATCATTTTTTCCCTACAAAATTGCTATAGAAAAATGCTCCAAAAACAACTTTTACACTTATCAAAAATCATACAACTTTGTAAAACCAAAGAATATACTATTTTATTTCATTATGTAGTAACATATTTGGATAAGATGTAGGGATGCGTAGGATGCAAATGGATTTTGACAGACACAAAAATACTTCCTGGTTTGGAATCATATGCCTCTACACTTCATGATTGAATTATGACCATAATAAGTGGCCTATACATCAATACAGTGCTGAATATAGGTCAACAAGACACTAGTGTGCATATAAATGTAATAATTAAAGCAGAATACTCATTTTGAAAAATCAGATGAATTATTTTTTTCTCATGGGGAGATCCCAATGGAGGGTGTATAAGGTCCTTTGGGACCTCAATTTTGATTGTTTCTTGAGAGATGGTTGCTAAGGTAACCAGAGTGGTGGGTACCATGTTCAACCCGAAATTACGTTTTTCCAAATAGTTTTCTTGCTTGAATAAACTCTTTGCAAAGTGGCAATTAGCAGGTGTAAGTGTCTTCTTCAATTTTTTGCCAGCTGTCAACACATTCTGGCAATGCTTTAATTTTAATAGAATTATTTTAATATTTACTAACTGTATTATATGTAGTTTGCATTACTGTTGATAAATAAATAAATGATTGCACTGTTCAGTAAAGAAATATACCAATTGTATTATTTAAACTGACTATACGCTATAGAAATGATTTTCATTGAAAAATCAAATCAGTACCAAAATTATGGTTACCCTGTAGTAGTGAAAGGCACATTAAAAATGAATATCACCCCCTCAATCTATTTTTACAGGTTTTTATGATTATTTCAGATTTTTCTATAGTTTGCGTAACCAGGACGGTGAATTTTCTTCATTTTTAATCAAACATTTTGTCTTACCAATATTTATTATGTCTGTCAATTTTATCAAAATTGCGCCGCTACGTTTGAAAATAATTCAAATTATGTAGTTTTTCCCATTGAGCTCCATTATAAAAATGGAATTTTCAAACTTAATATTTTAAAATTCTACGCGGTGAAAAGTTGCATATTGAGTAGTCAGTTAATGTTATGGTGTTAAAAATTCAAAACAAAAAGGAATAAAGAAAAAATGCCACAGAGAAGTCTCAATAGAGTCTCTTTAAGTCACACTGTAAAATATGTTTTTGCAATGTGTAAAAATAATTTAAAACCATGAGTGGATGGTTTTAGTCACGAAAGTTTTGAAGCAAGATTTTGAACGACGGCTTAAAGTCTTAGGCATCTAGTGAATATGAAATAATATTGTTCAAGGTACTGAAACGGACAAAGCGTACCCTTCAGTCGGTGTAGATCTGAGATTCCAAAAAAATGAAAATGAAATGAGGGTATTATGGTATCAACCGCCGAAAATCGATTCAATCAATGACTGATCAATCAATCTTTCAGACAGTTTGTCGTTAAAGAGCGCAAAGTGAGTTCAGAGAATAATTCACTCACAAATCTAACATAAATCGTTTGGAAAGAGTTATCACACTCACAACTGTTTCTCCATCCTCTAAAACTCCACCTCTCAGGACGAATCTTAGATACTTGGCGAGGTCGTCTGCAGTACTAGCCATCCCATAACCGCCAATCATCCCAGAACTACGACTGCAAAATGCAAATATGAAGGGGATGTCCTAGAATTCATGGACGGACTTTTATCAATGTAAAGAACCCGGGTAAAAATCACCCTGAATTTTGCATCAAAGGAGGGAGAGTTGTTTGTAGAATGATGGATTAACACCCAGGATTTTTTTCAACTTCAGAGGACTGGGAATCATTGATTCTATTCGCTTGAATAATGTAAATGCTGTTTTAAGTAGGTTTCGTGTATGCCAATAATTTCTTTAAATGGTACCCATTCCTCAAACCCTAGAATTTTCTCTTTGAAATCCAATGGTACAGTACCAAGTAGTACCAAGTAGATTTTGGGATAACAGGTAAGTAAATCTTTAATACACACCTTTTTGGGTTGCGATATAAAGGCGCAAAGCTTGAAAAAACTCCCCCGATTCATTCTACAAACAACTCATCCTTTTTGGTATAATCGAATAATCAACAGTGAATTTTATAACATTCACGTGGGATGGTATCTACTCTATGATTATAGTACTAAGTAATAAAAAATACTTAAAATGTAATCATGGATGGCAAATTTACACCGTTCGTCCATTTGAAACTAAATGTACAGTACCTTACAAAGTTTCCAGTTACTTTGATGAGTGTCCCATTTGAACCCGGTTGGTACCCTAAGGCATAATTGTCATCGAATCGAGCCTCATCTATTGTATTTGAATTTACCATACCCAATGGCTCAAACAATTCGTCATGTAAAATCTGTTTGGTTGTTTTATTCTCAAGTATCTCGAACGCTTTTTCAAGAAACGCAAATCCAGCACTTGAGTAGTGGTATGCTCGCCTAACTTCATCAGTTACCGGATAATGCTTTATTTGTCTGAAAATATGAGTTTGACATATTCATTGTCATAGTATTCTATTTGTTAAAGACACACGTGACAAGGACTACATGTAATATAAAATGTAAAAACAGATTGTTTCATCTTTAATTTCGTGACCGTCATTGAAATAAACCTTAAAGCTTTTCCCCTCCCTATTTTACTTTTAGATGTTATATCAATATTTAATATTTCCACCCCATGAAATATGTTGCTATTTGAGATATGCACTATGCAGAGTTCAATGCTAGATGGACCTCTAAAATATGCAGAGGGCTCAAACGATGAAAAGGTACATTGTCCAAGGCGAGACAAAATGATGAGCAGATGCGAGTAGGTAGTTACCAGTTTCACCATCGTTCGGGTCAGATACATGTACTGTAGCTATAGCATGGCGGGTATAATAAAAAGTTCCCTTTAACTTAAATTATATTTGTTTTTGTTGTTCAATTTTTATATCACCCTTATGTATCTAATAGTTATGCAAATGAAAATATATCCAGTAAAAGAAAATGTTATCTGTCCAATACAAGAAAAGATATTCCACTTATGGGGAAATTCCCCGAACTAAAGTCATTTTCCAAAGAAATTCAATTTTCAAAGTTGATGAACAATTTTCGAAACCATATTTCTTAATGTTCTTTTACATGTAGGTTTCAAATATGACATCAGTTTGACTTTTTGAATCTTTAATGATGTAAATCAAGATTATTTCTACTCGCATCTAGCAATTGCATCAGTAAAATTATGTTGAAACCCCTAAACCAGACACTCGAACGTATGCACGGTGTTTCCAAAAATAATATACATGACAAACATACCCCTTATATTGATGTTACGCTGAATAACCCTCTTAGTACATTACCTGATGTAGTCATCTTTCGTCCAGGCAAAAAAGTTCTGTACTAAATCATAGAATACTTCTCCGTCACCTATTCCATGCCTCATTGATAGGATATCCTGACAATACAGAGAGAAACAAATAGCACAATAGTAGAGCTCTTTAAATCTTGCTTTTTGTTATTTTAGTTGTTCTTTGGGTACAATTCATGTTATCAATTGACCATTTTGTAAATTCATTGTGCTGAATAACAATATACGCTGATTTGATTTTATACAGATATTATATGATATAATCAAAATAAAGTCATATAGTTTTTATACTCACTCTGATTGTAACCTCCTTTTCCGAAGTTTTATCGGACAATTCAAATTCGTCTCCCAGAAGATCTTTGATGGTTGTGTCAAATGAATACCTAAAACAAAATAATAACTGAAGAGGTGTAACGTATTTTTGGATGTTAGATTCAAACACAAAATACTTTCCTTCAGAGGCGTATTAAAATATATTTTATTTCTTCAATCTCTTAATAATTACAATTTCCACAATATCTCTTACTGTTTCAAGACTCAATATAAAACTTCTCTTAAAAACTTCTTTTAAAAACTGCGCAATTCTTGAAACATTGGCTTTTATACCTAACCTCAAGATCAGAGGTCATTAAAATCAGAGATCATATATATAGGTCTAGCAGTTGATCCCAAAGTCAGAGATCGGTCTAACCGGTGAATCAAAAGTCAGAGATCATTGAGGTCTCACCTTGTTGATCTCAAATTCGTGAACAACAAGCTAGTCTAAAAATAGATTACTATACTGCGCAATAGCTCAGATCTCAATGTTAGAGAAATATATTATGTATATTTTGAAACATGTTGTGTTTCAAAAAGAACATATTAAGTTTATGGAATATAAAAACCTTAGTAAAAGAATGCATGCAATGTATTCTACAGAGGTTCATCCTCCAGAAAAAGCAAACATTTTAGTTTAAATTGGATTCATAGCTGGTTTAAAGCACGAGATCTTTGCTTGAGAACAAGGGTGGTAACCCAGGGTTTGAGGCGAGCATACAAGACACGAGCCCCTAAATCATGCATAATTCATCGAGCTCCGCGTCAAATTCAATTACACATACGAAATTTAATCTGAACTTGTATTTACAAACAGTTAAACTCAAAGCATACTTTAATAGAAATATACAGACCCTACTTGTCAAATGTGAATGATCAGTTTAATGTTTACACCGGTAAAGCACGGTTATGCTATTTTCTGACTTGACAGCGAGTGAAAATACATACATAATGTACATGTAGTTATGCATATGACTGGACGGCAAGTGAAAATGCATACCTAATGTACATGTAGTATGCATATGACTGGACAGCAAGTGAAAATGCATACCTAATGTACATGTAGTTATGCATATGACTGGACAGCAAGTGAAAATGCATACCTAATGTACATGTAGTTATGCATATGACTGGACAGCAAGTGAAAGTGCATACCTAATGGACATGTAGTTATGCATATGACTGGACAGCAAGTGAAAATGCATACCTAATGTACATGTAGTTATGCATATGACTGAACAGCAAGTGAAAATGCATACCTAATGTGCATGTAGTATGCATATGACTGGACAGCAAGTGAAAATCCATACCTAATGAACATGTAGTTATGTATATGACTGGACAGCAAGTGAAAATGCATACCTAATGTACATGTAGTTATGCATATGACTGGACAGCAAGTGAAAATGCATACCTAATGGACATGTAGTTATGCATATGACTGGACAGCAAGTGAAAATGCATACCTAAAGTACATGTAGTATGCATATGACTGGACAGCAAGTGAAAATGCATACCTAATGTACATGTAGTTATGCATATGACTGGACAGCAAGTGAAAATACATACCTAATGTACATGTAGTTATGCATATGACTGGACAGCAAGTGAAAATGCATACCTAATGGACATGTAGTTATGCATATGACTGGACAGCAAGTGAAAATGCATACCTAAAGTACATGTAGTTATGCATATGACTGAACAGCAAGTGAAAATGCATACCTAATGTGCATGTAGTTATGCATATGACTGGACAGCAAGTGAAAATCCATACCTAATGAACATGTAGTTATGTATATGACTGGACAGCAAGTGAAAATGCATACCTAATGTACATGTAGTTATGCATATGACTGGACAGCAAGTGAAAATGCATACCTAATGAACTTGTAGTTATGCATATGACTGGACAGCGAGTGAAAATGCATACCTAATGTACATGTAGTTATGCATATGACTGGACAGCAAGTGAAAATGCATACCTAATGTACATGTAGTTATGCATATGACTGGACAGCAAGTGAAACTGCATACCTAATGAACATGTAGTTATGTATATGACTGGACAGCAAGTGAAAATGCATACCTAATGTACATGTAGTTATGCATATGACTGGACAGCAAGTGAAAATGCATACCTAATGAACTTGTAGTTATGCATATGACTGGACAGCGAGTGAAAATGCATACCTAATGTACATGTAGTTATGCATATGACTGGACAGCGAGTGAAAATGCATACCTAATGAACATGTAGTTATGCATATATGACTGGACAGTAAGTGAAACTGCATACCTAATGAACATGTTTAGTTTTGCATATGACTATACAGCAAGTGAAAATGCATACCTAATGAACATGTAGTTATGCATATGACTGGACTGCAAGTGAAATGCATACCTAATGAACATGTTTAGTTTTGCATATGACTATACAGCAAGTGAAAATGCATACCTAAGGAACATGTAGTTATGCATATGACTGGACTGCAAGTGAAATGCATACCTAATGAACATGTAGTTATGCATATATGACTGGACAGCAAGTGAAACTGCAAACCTAATGAACATGTAGTTATGCATTTGACTGGACTGCAAGTGAAATGCATACCTAATGAACATGTAGTTATGCATATATGACTGGACAGCAAGTGAAACTGCATACCTAATGAACATGTTTAGTTTTGCATATGACTATACAGCAAGTGAAATGCATACCTAATGAACATGTTTAGTTTTGCATATTACTGGACAGCGAGTGAAAATGCATACCTAATGAACATGTAGTTATGCATATGACTGGACAGCAAGTGAAAATGCATACCTAATGAACATGTAGTTATGCATTTGACTGGACTGCAAGTGAAATGCATACCTAATGAACATGTAGTTATGCATATGACTGGACAGCAAGTGAAAATGCATACCTAATGAACATGTAGTTATGCATTTGACTGGACTGCAAGTGAAATGGATACCTAATGAACATGTAGTTATGCATATGACTGGACAGCAAGTGAAAATGCATACCTAATGAACATGTAGTTATGCATATGACTGGACAGCAAGTGAAATGCATACCTAATGAACATGTTGTTATGCATATGACTGGACAGCAAGTGAAAATGCATACCCAATGAACATGTAGCTATGTATATGACTGGACAGCAAGTGAAAATGCATACCTAATGTACATGTAGTTATGCATATGACTGGACAGCAAGTGAAAATGCATACCTAATGAACATGTAGTTATGCATATGACTGGACAGCAAGTGAAAATGCATACCTAATGTACATGTAGTTATGCTTATGACTGGACAGCAAGTGAAAATGCATACCTAATGTACATGTAGTAATTATGCATATGATTAAGGGAGTTTGACAACTCTAACTCTCTAGTTGATACCCACGCGACATATATTTCTCTCTAAAAATTAACGCAGCCTATATCACCATCTTTGAATTCTTTCGACCAAATTCATCCGCTTGAAATATGCATCCCTACTTACTGTGGATATTTCGTCAGCATTCGGGCAGTGAGGATTGTAAACATAAATTTTGACGTGCTTTGTATCGACATTGGCGTCTGAGCTGTAAATGGCTCATTCTTCTCAATATCTTTGTATCCATAGCCCTTGCTTAAAACAACAGTATCATCCTTCACCACAGACAGAAACATTCCCGGAACACGTCTGCACTCCATTACGGTTGCAATTCGTTCCTCCAGGTTTGCTGTATCTTCTGAATTCCATTCTTTGGAAAGGAATCCATTAACGTAAAACAACAATATGGTAACTATGAACCATTTGCACATGTTTCGCATTTTATTGAATTTGGTACCTGTTAGGATTACGGTGTGTGTTGTCCTCTTTAGGATTTCACCCTTTTTACGTTGTCACTTAACGTAAATGTTAATGCAGAAATTCAATACGTGTGTCTCCAAAGGTATAGTTATAAAAGTCAAACGTTAAGTGTTTTTTACTTTCTTACATGCACACTTAAACCATTTTCGAAACAACATTCAACTTATTAAAACGACCTTTATACAATTTTCTATTTGTTTTTATTTCAAATCAATCTATTCTTGTCATAAGAAATGTGTGTTTTAACTCGAAATCGGTTTCTCCCTACGACCTGCCTTATGCTACTGTTATACACTTAATGCTTTGCATGTTGAATAATTAAGTACATCGTGTGAATGCATTTTACTTCGCGAGTAGAGTTTGGAGTCTCATATAAATATTACTGATGTTAGGTAACTGAAAGATGTCCTGAATGTTTTTTTACTTTTTATTTTAAGATATATTTATTTAATTTTTTCCTAATATATAACAATGCAAATTCCCAGTCAATCTCTCAAGGGCAGAAGGGTATAAGAAAAGCAAATACAATATCGTGATGAAAGTCAAGAGGTTCACTCTGCTCTAGGGCTTGCAATGTGACCGAACATTGGAACCATTTTTTCGGTCTAAGATCTCATTCCAAGGCCCCCTACTTTAGCCATGCTACAGCTTTGCCCTAAAAAGGAGTATCACTGAATCAATATGCAAATTCATTAAACTTTATGTTCAAGTTTAACCCTTTCCCAAAAGAATTGAATAACATAACAATAACTTTTTTTGCATACATTTTTTTATCAGGTCAAGCAGCTTTACAAAAAGTAATAAAGACAATTTAAAATGGTTGTTGTACATTTCTCTTAAGAGGCTTTTTTCAAAAATTGTTTTGGTTCGAGTTTTTTTTTGACAAAACAAGCTTTTTCAAGTTTTTGGTTCGAGGCTTTTTGGCAAAAAACGTTTTGCTTCAAGGCTTTTTTGGCAAAAACGGTTTTCTTCGAGGCTTTTACCCCAAAAAACGTTTTCGTTTTGCATCAACATTATTTGCCCAAAAAAACTCGAAGCAAAACTCTTTTTGCCAATTAAGCCTGGAACAAAATTTTCTTTTGCAAAAAAGTCTCGAAGAAAAGTGAGGAAAATATTGAAAAAAGACCAGTCCAGTTCCAGGTCCAACTCAAGGTCCAGGTCCAAGTATGGATCCAGGTCCAAGTCCAGGTAAGGTCCGGTCCAGTCAAAGTCCAGAATAAGGTCAAAGTCCAAATCCATGTCCAAGTACAAGTCCAAGTCCAGTCCAGGTCCGAGGTCAGTCCAGGTTCAAGTGTAGTCCAAGTTCAGTCTAGGTAAAAGTCAATGTCCAAGCCAAGGCCCAAGTTCAGTCAATGTCCAAGGCCAGTCCTGGTCCAAGTCCAGTTCCAGTCCAAGCCCAGTTAAGGCCGATGTCCAGTTCCAAATCAAGGCAAAGTCCGGCCGATTGAGTATTTCGTTCAAAATTGAATACAGTATTGAACAAAACACTCAATCGGGCGATGGATCGGAGCAAATGTGACCCAGGCATTAACGTGTGTTCGCTACTTTACGCTTCTATTGTTTTGCGTTTGCTAAATGCGTTGCGACAAATACCACTTATAGCTTTGTAGCTAAGTTCAAGCTAATTAGAGATTCTTACTGCCATTTTATTTGAGGATTTAAGCCCTGGACTGTGTGCATTATTGACTGAATCATTTCTCTGGGGGTAATTTTTCAAATCTTTGGATGCCCGCGAAGCGGGAATGTAAAGTTTATGAAACAATGGGAGCGGTGATTGGTTATATAATGCAGTTCAGTTATATGTCGCATATAATCGAGGAAAATAATTTCAAGCGATCCAGAATTTGCGATTTATGAATGCATAGCACATAAGTTAAACACAATAACGGCTCCAAGAAAATTTAGATTAAAGGCAGAATCAGATCTAGCAAAAACTTCATGATTTATGATCATAATCTTGACGAAAAATTGTCAATTTTGGGCACATGTATCATTCCTCGTCGTGTCTTTTTCTAAAAATACCCAAATTGTGTACTGTATCTGAGGGAAACTAAAGATTTTTACATTAATTAATACATTCATACATTCCTCCATTTTGGTACTTTTGAATAATTTCACCAATTTACAATTTGCAATTTTCCCAACCCAATCGATCTGATTCTGTCTTTAATAATGAATTCAACTTGTTGAACCTATGTACAACATGCGTTTAAAACATATAGTTTGTCAGATCGATGGATTTATCTTTTTCTTCGTAGCATCATCTGTGGATCTTTATAGTAGATCCATGTAAAAGTCGCGTTCTTTTCCATATGCTTCGGCAGTTTCTGGAATACCTGTGTCCAAAAAGGAAGCCTCCGCTTCAAGTTTAGTTTCAGTGAAAAAACGAACGAACTGTTCTCCCAAAGCTTCGCATATTATCTTATCTTCTCTAAGAGCCTCGATGCCCTCCTGAATATTACGTGGAATATCTAGAGCGTTCGGATCGTTTTCAGCCGGCAGTTTAAGTTTCCGCTGGAGTCCATCAATTCCAGCAGCCAGTGTAGCAGCAACGATGAGATATGGATTACCCAGACCCCCTCCCATTCGGTTTTCCATGTAAGTACTTTTCTCGCCATTAACTTTAACCCTTAATGATGCGAATCTATCTTCAATGCCCCAGTTAGCTTTACATGGGGCGAGGGGGAAGCCAACTCGTCTGAAACAGTTTACTGTTGGAGAATGAAGAACAAATATCGCTCTGGCATGCGACATCAACCCAGCTATCCAGTGTTCAGCTACACTAGACAGTTTGTTAGACGTTTCTGGGTCATAAAACGCGTTCTTTCCTGCCTTATCTAAAAGAGAGAAGTTGAAGTGAAGTCCACATCCGGCATCGGGACTGTTTTTGGTCATAAAAGATGCAACGTAACCTATTTTCTTTGTTACTTCTTTAATTGCGTATTTTGCCACATACGCATCATCTGCGGATCTTAGACCGTATTTGGGTGCAGTTGTAAATTCAAATTGCCCGTCAACAAACTCCGTCATCAATGCCTCCATATCAACCCCTATTTTTCTAAGATTTTCCTCCAATGGAAACAAGATCTCACCAAACTCCGTAAATATGGACTGGTTAAAATAACCCGTTTTGCCATGGTAAATCGGTGTCTTTTTGTCCGCATCAAACAAATGAAATTCCAATTCCCATCCAGATTTTAAGGAATATCCCATATCATCTAAACGAATCAGTTGTTGCCTAGCAACCTCTCGTGGAGCGGCATCTATCGGTGAATTAAACCCACTATCCCAATAGAGATCACACATGACCTCCCCGACTCTTCTATGCGCCATACTTGCCCACGGAATCGGCCTCAACGTGCTAATATCAGGTTTCAAATAGCAATTTCCAAATTTTCTTTCGATCACTTCTGGTTCGAATGCTTTTAAAGCTCCCGATAATCCCATCCCGAGTATACCACAATATATCTGAATTCCATTTTCAAGGGCATCATTTAAATGCGGCTTTGGGATAACCTTTCCTCGAGGAAGACCGTAGTAGTCCGCTGATGTAAACCGGACATAATCAAAGTCCTTAATATCCAAGGTACCATTCATTTTGTAGTTGCTTTGATTTTCGAGTTAAGATGTTAAAATGTATGTCGATTTATGCGTCTATCAAAAAGTTCACCTTGCAAAATAATCTGAGCTTATAGCATTGAAAAATGTTAAATATCCAAAAGAGAATATAGTGCTTGTATTGTAATAGGACACACCGTATAAATAACTTATCTGCTGTCATAGAAATACATTACTCGAGTCACCTCAACGCCGGCTGAACATAAAGAAGTAAGATATTTGCCCTGAATCTTCTAGATAAAGACTTATAACAAATGTAGTTGAACATCTAGTTATACATTAACCCAAATACAATAAATCAAATAGCCAAACAGTAAATTGAAAAGGAGCGATGTTGTTGAATACAGGCCCGCGCAATATCCTAAATGCGAGTAGAAATAATCAAACTAATGTCATATTTCGAATCTACGTGTAAAATTAAATCTAGAAATTTGGTTTTGAAAAGAGTTTGTCAACTTTGAAAATTTAATTTTCTTTGAAAATGTGACTTCTAGGTCGGGGAGATTCCCATAGGCCCCATGTTGTAAAATCACAAAAAGTTAAATATCTTTTCTTGTGTTGGGCAGATAATGTTATATTTTCTTTTACTAGACACATTTTAATTTGTATAACTATCAGATACATTAGGGTTATAAGAAAAGTGAATCACTAAAACTGATAAATATTCAAGTTAAAGGGAATTTTGTAATACCCTGCCATGTTATTTCCCCGAATCAGTCACCTGGTGGCGAAACTGGTAACTACCTACTCGCATATGAGTAATTACGGCAGAATTATTTATAGTATGCTAATCTCGGGTGTCTAGGGAGAGTAGCCAATGCAAATGATAAAGCATGTACCTTCTGTAAGTTCATGGGAGACATCAAATGTGCATTAAGTAACTGGAGAAGCACATATACCCCATATCAATTGTGCATTAAGGTACTGGACATGCAAATATATCCCATATCAAATGTGCATTAAGGTATTGGACAAGCACATATACCCCATATCAAATGTGCATTAAGGTACTGGACAAGCACATATATCCTATATAAAATGTGCATTAAGGTACTGGTCAAGCACATTTACCCCATATCAAATGTACATTAAGGTACTGGTCAAGCACATATACCCCATATCAAATGTGCATTAAGGTACCGGACAAGCAAATATACCCCATATCAAATGTGCATTAAGGTACTGAATAAGCAAATATACCCCATATCAAATGTACATTAAGGTACTGGTCAAGCACATATATTCCCCATATCAATTGTGCTTTAAGGTACTGGAGAAGCAAATATACCCAATATCAAATGTACATTCGGGTACTGGACAAGCAAATATACCCCATATCAAATGTACATTAAGGTACTGGTCAAGCACATATACCCCATATCAAATGTGCATTAAGGTACTGGACAAGCAAATATACCCCATATCAAATGTACATTAAGGTACTGGACAAGCAAATATACCCCATATCAAATGTGCATTAAGGTATTGGACAAGCAAATATACCCCATATCAAATGTGCATTAAGGTACAGGTTAAGCACATATACTCCATATCAAATGTACATTAAGGTACCGGACAAGCAAATATACCCCGTATCAAATGTGCATTAAGGTACTGAATAAGTAAATATACCCCATATCAAATGTACATTAAGGTACTGGTCAAGAACATATACCCCATATCAAATGTGCATTAAGGTACCGGACAAGCAAATATACCCCGTATCAAATGTGCATTAAGGTACTGAATAAGCAAATATACCCCATATCAAATGTACATTAAGGTAGTCAAGCACATATACCCCATATTAAATGTACATTAATGCACTGGAGAAGCACATATACGCCATATCAAATGTACATTAATGCACTGGAGAAGCAAATATACCCCATATCAAATGTGCATTAAGATACTGGAGAAGCACGTATAACCAATATCAAATGTGCTTTAAGGTACTGGACAAGCAAGTATACCCCATATCAAATGTGCTTTAAGGTACTGGACAACCACATATACCCAATATCAAATGTGCGTTAAGATACTGGAGAAGCAAATATACCCAATATCAAATGTACATTCGGGTACTGGTCAAGCACATATACCCCATATCAAATGTGCATTTAGGTACTGGACAAGCAAATATACCCCATATCAAATGTACATTAAGGTACTGGACAAGCAAATATACCCCATATCAAATGTGCATTAAGGTATTGGACAAGCAAATATACCCCATATCAAATGTGCATTAAGGTACAGGTTAAGCACATATACTCCATATGAAATGTACATTAAGGTACCGGACAAGCAAATTTACCCCGTATCAAATGTGCATTAAGGTACTGAATAAGTAAATATACCCCATATCAAATGTACATTAAGGTACTGGTCAAGAACATATACCCCATATCAAATGTGCATTAAGGTACCGGACAAGCAAATATACCCCGTATCAAATGTGCATTAAGGTACTGAATAAGCAAATATACCCCATATCAAATGTACATTAAGGTAGTCAAGCACATATACCCCATATTAAATGTACATTAATGCACTGGAGAAGCACATATACGCCATATCAAATGTACATTAATGCACTGGAGAAGCAAATATACCCCATATCAAATGTGCATTAAGATACTGGAGAAGCACATATAACCAATATCAAATGTGCTTTAGGGTACTGGACAAGCAAATATACCCCATATCAAATGTGCTTTAAGGTACTGGACAACCACATATACCCAATATCAAATGTGCATTAAGATACTGGAGAAGCAAATATACCCAATATCAAATGTACATTCGGGTACTGGACAAGCAAATATACCCCATATCAAATTTGCATCAAGGTACCGGACAAGCAAATATACCCAATATCAAATGTGCATTAAGGTACTGAATAAGCAAATATACCCCATATCAAGTGTACATTAAGGTACTGGACAAGCAAATATACCCCATATCAAATGTGCTTTAAGGTACTGGACAACCACATATACCCAATATCAAATGTGCATTAAGATACTGGAGAAGCAAATATACCCAATATCAAATGTACATTCGGGTACTGGTCAAGCACATATACCCCATATCAAATGTGCATTAAGGTACTGGACAAGCAAATATACCCCATATCAAATGTACATTAAGGTACTGGACAAGCAAATATACCCCAAATCAAATGTGCATTAAGGTATTGGACAAGCAAATATACCCCATATCAAATGTGCATTAAGGTACAGGTTAAGCACATATACTCCATATGAAATGTACATTAAGGTACCGGACAAGCAAATATACCATATCAAATGTACATTAAGGTAGTCAAGCACATATACCCCATATTAAATGTACATTAATGCACTGGAGAAGCACATATACGCCATATCAAATGTACATTAATGCACTGGAGAAGCAAATATACCCCATATCAAATGTGCATTAAGATACTGGAGAAGCACATATAACCAATAAGCAAATATACCCCATATCAAATGTGCTTTAAGGTACTGGACAACCACATATACCCAATATCAAATGTGCATTAAGATACCGGAGAAGCAAATATACCCAATATCAAATGTACATTCGGGTACTGGACAAGCAAATATACCCCATATCAAATTTGCATCAAGGTACCGGACAAGCAAATATACCCAATATCAAATGTGCATTAAGGTACTGAATAAGCAAATATACCCCATATCAAGTGTACATTAAGGTACTGGACAAGCAAATATACCCCATATCAAATGTGCTTTAAAGTACTGGCCAAGCACATACGAGTATATTCCATTTCAAATGTGCATTTAGGTACTTGACAAGCACAAATATTTCCCAATATCAAATTTAATTTGAACCTAGAAAATGAAGGATTTTGTCAGTTTTCACAAATCATAACGTTTCCATCAATATTATAGTTATTTCATCGCAGGTTAAGTAAATAAAAATCCAAACGTAAAGAGGTTTTTACATGTAGTTCGTTCAATGGGAGAGCTAAGGTTGCCAAACTTATGGAGGGGAGTGTAGGTTACATTTTTTCGGTGGACGAAGAAAGTCGTATGCTATACGTCATTGTTTTTACGTGTGATCAGTACCATAAAATGGGGATTCAAAAACACTTTTTATTGGTGTAATAACTTGCGCTTGAATCATTGTTGCTGCTCAAATTCCCGTTTACAGGTGCTTGGGGATATATTCTATAGTATCTGATTGTTAAAACTACATTTCAAAAAAAAAAAAATGAAATATTGCAAAAAAGTTTTTTTCGAAAAGTGTACTGAGAAAACATGGGTCTTGTATGGGTGGACGGACGGACGGGCGGATGGACGGATGGCTTTTCTATATCCCCCTCGAACTTATTTCTTGGGATAATAAATAAATTATCTTCCCTTATTAATTATTTATCCGTAGTGCTTAGTGAGAAACCTCGAATTTCTCTCCAAACACTAGCTACTGGAAATTTAAGCAAGTTGTAATCAAATAATTGACCAAATCATTCGTGCAAATGCGTTTGACGGTGTAATTACTAAAATCATTAATAATCTAGATAGCTTACGCTTTCTTTATTTAATATTCCTGGGTTATCGAGTGATAACCTTATAAACATTTATTCCCTCATCAATTATTTATCCATAGTGCTCAGTGAGAAACCTCGAATAATAACGCTTTTCGAGCTCTCTCTCCAAACATTGGCAACGGGATGCAATGTTTAAACAAGGTACATGTATAACAACCAAATAATTGACCAAGTCTTTAGTGTATATTATTATTAGATTTATTTTCCATCCATTGATTGGAAATAATATAATAATTATATATTACAGAAATATTAAACGCGTATCAAAATTTAAGTTACAATAGACAAAATAGAGCTCTTCTTACTCAAATAATAATTATAGGTAAGCTATTAGAGCTGACATGCAGTGGCGTAGCCAGAAATTGGTGACCAGGGGTTCGATTTTTTATGTTATCCACAACCCTCCCCCTTCATCGGTGTACCTCACATAAAAGCATTTTCTGTATTTGTCATACATACAATTCATTCTTTAGTTAGAGTTCAATCACAGATATTTCAAATTCTGAAACATGCGATTCCCACACTTTTAGCTGATTTTTGAAAAGATTCCGTATCAAAAGATGTTTATTTCATTTTGTTATAGAGGAGTTCCTAATAACCTCATGAACTTACAGTAACTTACTGAATACTAGTATATTCAATAGCAAATATTT